GTTAGATAGATAGAGATAAGTATTGATTTGGGTGAAGAGAAGGGCAATGTACCAAATGTGAGTGACCAGTATGGCACCATTGAGGATGAGAAAGATGTAGAGAGGTACATGGGAGGTATTGACAACAAAGATGAACCCTTTTACATATATAGTACTGCACTGTCAGTGAAGGCAAACATGGGTATATTGGTGGATAGATGGGTGGACAGGCTGAACGATTAGGTATGTCTATGAAATGGGGAGTGTATCCAAGAACATATATAGGGTTGGCAGATCATGGTCCTATAAGCTTATGTGAATTATCAGAATTCCCAGGTGTATAGTAGAGCTGACAAGGAGCAAGGTTGTGGTCACTGCTTGGTCACAGCCAGATACCCAGACAGACAGAGTAGTTGAACCTGCGGGCTTGGGACCACAGTCACAGGGGACATCAAGCTCAATTGGCATAACATACTATACAAAATATTGTTCCACCTCCTACTTCAGTGAGTAGCAACTGTGATCTTAAAAGCTAGCAAGCTGCCATCTAAATGCAACGATGGGTCTCTCCTTGTCCAGAGGGAAGAAGAATGAAGAATACCAAAATTCTTGTAAACAATTAGTCCTAGAGACTGATACACCATTCGATCTGCAGCCTATACGACTATGAGACCAGAAGAACTAGATGTTGCCTGGCTACCACAGTCATCCACTTGGAAGGGGATCTATGTAGGAGATCCTTGATAGAGAGGGAGAACAATGTGGAACAAAACTCAAAATCATTTGGAGGGAAAAAAAAAAAAAAAAGCTGGGGACCAGGTTTGCTGATCCGATAGAGCCTATTAGAACCACTGAGAATATGGTCGCTAGCTGCCCTTGAGGTCTGGAATTGAACCCACACCTGTGGTTTCCAGCCAAACAAATTACAGGCACATGAGTTGAACATTTACTTCAAGTAGATACACTCTTTGGAGAGAACACTCATGGGAGAAAGAAGGGCTGCTTATGCACAGGGAGACAGCTCAGGGGGCATGAGTCCATGTTTGAACTTCATCTGAGAGGCCAGTGGCTTACACCAAAATTTTCCAATGATGCAAGGAATGGAACAGGGTCAGACAGAGAAGTATCAGTATGAAATGACAGGGTCAGATCAGCAGGAATGTAAAGACACAACAAATGTAAACAAGATTTCAAGTTTGAGCAAAGAGGACAGTGATGCCAACAAAAAGAGGTAGGGAACAGGCAAGAAATGGAGTCAAGGAGTGGGGACAAAAAATAAGATATTCTGTTGAGCCTGCTAAGTCAGATGTACATACACGCCACACACAGAGACATGTCCAACAGGAAGCCAGAAAGGACTCAAGCAGACTTCAAGAAAAATTTCCAAAGTAGAGATACACGTGAAAGTCAATACTTGAAGAGATGACTGTTGAAATCTTGAGAATTCCCCTACCATCACCAAACCAAGAGAAAACATATCATGAGATAAAGAAAAGCCAGCATAGGTCCCAACTAGTACTGCCAGCACTGAGAGAGCAGAAGGATAAGAGTGTATGAAAAAAAGCTAAGGAGCAGGGCAGAAAGGGAAGAAATGAACCCCGAGTTCCAAGATGTATGCTACAGGCAAAAGGAAAAGAGCCACTGGCATCAGAGTTCACAGAAATAAGCAGAAGGCAGCTATTGCATTTGGCAGTTCTGAAGTATAGAGTAGGAACAAACTAATGTGGCAAGAAATCGAAGAGAGAAAGGAAAAGAAGGTAACAACATCCAACCTTCTGAATAAAGTCTAAGGATATTGAGGAAAAAGACACAGGACCACTTGGGACAAGTGACCAAAAAATAAGAAATAAAACAAGGCAAAGAGATGAACCAATATTCACAGTAGATTTTTCATGTATCATTGTCAAATAGGGATATCAGAAAACTACCAAAAAAAAAAAAAAAGACTTCAAATAAATCTAGTACAAGCATTATGAATTTTCTAGTCAAAAATCATGCTGCCCATTAAAATTCCCCTCTCCCGTTTCACACATACATACACACATACTCATTTCTATAAGATAATGATTTTTCTAATACAGCTACAAAAAAAAGAACCATGTTTTATTAAAAGTGTAGTTCTAGGAGTAGATGTCATTAACTATACGTTTTGAAATACATCTCATAAGTTTTATATGAACATTTTAGGCATGAGATAGTCTGTTGGTTGTAGAAATGTCTTACTACTTTCCTATCTTTTGTGGTCCAAATTTGGCACCATCATGGGTCATTAGAGAAAGACTCCATAAAAATATAATTAATTAAGATATGGGTAATTCTAGGGCTATACTGAAAATATGAGCAAAACATCTACATTGTGATACTAAGCAATCTTAGAAGCTCCCAAGTATCAAAGATCATTCATGCATCAATGGTCTTGTCTATCTATTTTCTTAGCACATGCATTATGTTTGCGTAAAAATGGATATCAGTTTTAATTATTAAATAAGCTACAAGGTTGAAGTTATGAAAAATGGTCATGAAAGCAGCAAATACCTGAGGTACTCACAGCTGTGGAGTAGGGATTATGAGCTCCAGTATTTTCAGCCCAGCAGCCACATCCATACAGAGCAGCCTGGGAAAAAGAAAACAGATAGATACAATATTGTTGAAATGTGTTATATAATTACCACTTTCAACAGAGGACAATACCACACCCAGCTAATAAAGCCTGGGTTAATGATGTGCATCAGCTGGTGATAATACCAAAAGTTGTAAAAGATCTCCCCAACCAATGGTTCTGACACTATGAAAACTGTATTTACAGCTGTTTCACTAATCCAAAAAATTTTCATGATGTAACAAAACAAAGTTTCTTAGTCTCATCAGTCACAATTTTTCCACACTGAGAAACCTAGACTCTTTGTACTTAGTTTCTGTAGCCAGCCCTTGAAATCATAGTGGTTTTCTTAAAATAGTGATTCTCAAACTATGTGTTTTTTGTCAAACTCGATATGTAAAATTATTTGGAAAGCTTGCTGATGAGAATGCTGATTCTGGAATTCTAATTTAGTAGGTCTGAGGATGGTCCCAGGAATCTGCATTATTCAACAGTCCCCCAGAAGACTGGGATGCATGTGGTCTTCCTGTAATGCTCTAGTTAACTCTTTTTTTCCATGCCTTCCTTGGCATGGCACAACAGAAACTGCAAAGTTATCTACCAAGAGGCCCAGTTTATGCTCAATACTGTGCTGCATTCTGCTTGATGGAAAAAAAAAGGCAAAAAAAAAAGCCTGGTCAAAGATGGTAGAATACGCAGAAAGACTGCACAGACCCTCTTTAACAAAGAAAAGGGGAACCAAATAACATACATACAGAAGATAATCCAGGACACCAGAGCCTTGAAAGGAGGAATAGAGAAGTGGACTAAACTTCAACTAGCAAAAGATTTTGCCATAAAAACACCAAAAAAGGAGAAATACAGAGCTGTGGTCTGGTAGCAATCCTGACAGCACAGGCAGCTTGGAAATTGCCGAGTGGTAGTAGGACCAAAGAATGAACCTAAAAATCAGCACTGCTAGCCAGGGACTGCATGGAAGACAGCTCTGGTGGCTGGGGAATAAAAGGGAAAGCAGAGAAAAGGATGGCAGGTTGAGCTGTGGACTACTGTCTGCCCAGAGGGTGCAGCCATTTTGAATGTTTACAAGTGACTTGACCATTTTGGACATTTAAAGCGACAGTGTTCACCCAGATTCCAGGGACTTAAGAACAGGCTCTACTTGCCAGAAACCCCAAGTGCATTCCGGACCCAGACGACTGGAAGGGTGCGACATTCCACTTGTTACTCTTATACCCCATACCCTCTTTGTGAATGGAGGTGCGGCCATCCCTCACTCCCACCCAATTTCTGGGGCAGCAGGAATTCCATCCCAGTATGTTTGCTTGGACGGAGCCTGGGTACCCGGGCCCAACCTGCCCCCATATATTTTATTTCTATTTTTGGTTTTTTAGTTTGTCTGTTTTTGTATGTTTTGAAACTATTATTATTATTATTACTTTTGTCCTGTTTACTACTATTGTTACCATCCCAGGTTCTACTTGTCACCTTTTTTACTTTTCCTTTCACTGGTTGCAATTTTTTTTTTTTCCTTTCTGATGAGTAACCCCATTCATTCTTTTTCTTTTTGAGTTTTTTTCTTTCCATTTTCTTTCTCTACCTTTTTTTTTCTTGTTGCCCTCTCCCCAGATATTTCACGTGGTTTTTTTTTTTTTTCCTTCTTTTTCTCTTTCTTCTTTTTAGAGTTACTGTTCCAGTGTGATTATACGGTATATTTTTTACCACTTGTTTTTACTTTTTTGATGGTTATTCAATTGTTATCTTTTTCTAACTGAGTGGAAGACAGCAATAGTTCCCATATGACAAAACTGTACCCACACCTCCTGCAGCTTCACTTACTGAATGGGAGCCACCAATTCCTTCTCCACCAACAGGTCAACAATAAACAACCACCAAGAAGAGCTTGACTCACCCTTGATGCTCTTCACAAACAGTTAACAGAGATCTTAATACAACAACACCACAATGTCTCCGATAAAACAGACCATCACAATCCAAACAAAGAAGCAAGATTAAGTGGAAGAAACAAGGGAGCAGGATATAGTACCAGAACATATCCCTGAGGAAGAAGAAGCAATAGAAATCCCTGATAAGGAATTAAAAAGAATTATATTTACATATCATCAAAGCACTGAGAGACAAACCAAGGAAAACACAGAAAAAAGTCCCTGAAGAATACTGGAAGAAAATACAAGACCAAAATGACAAAAATGAAAAATTAGAAATGATTCTAAATCTACAGATAGAAATCCAGAAGATTAATACTAAATTGTCAGAAATAGATAACACATTGGAAGGGCAAAGAAGTAGAATTGATGCAATGGAACACAGAATTAATGAGATTGAAGACAAATACCTGAACACTTCTTTGTAAAGGGATCAATCAGAAAAAAAGATCAAAACAAAATGAAGATAGACTAAGGCTCATATGGGACACCATCAAAAGGAATAACCTATGTGTCCTTGAAATTCCAGAAGAGGAAAAGAATAATAAAACCACTGAGAAAACTGTCCAAGATTCTTGGAGGAGAACTTCCCTGATATGATGAAAAATGAGAATATATCCATTCAGGAAGTGCAGTGAACCCCAAACAGGATATATCCCAAAAGAAAATCACCAAGACATATCATCATCAAACTCATCAAAACCAAAGACAAAGAAAGAATCCTGAAAGCAACATGGGAAAAACGAAAAGTAATTACTAAGGACAACCAGTAACAATAAGCTCTGATTTCTCAGCAAAAAGCTTGCAAGCGAGAAGGCAATGGGATGGTATATATGAAACCATGAAAGAGATAAATTTTCAAAAAAGAATTATATACCAGGCAAATTGTCCCACAAATATAATGGTGAAATTAGGAGATTTCCAGATAAGCAGAAACTAATGGAATTTGTTAAAACCAGACAAACCTTACAAGAGATACTAAAGAGAGACCTTTGAATAGAGAAACAAAAATAGCAAACAACAACTGACCATTAATACACAAGATGACATAACCCAGAAACCACAACTAAGGACATATTCAAAGTAAAATGAGCTTATAAGATTGTAAACAGGAAACCAGAAACATCAACTGGCAAGTAAAGACAACTACACATCAAAAAGAGGGAAAATACTGTGCAGTTACAGAACTTCTAAATGGTGAGGACCTCAAGGGAGTTGCAAGATAGAATGGACTGTTCTAATCTTGGGGAGAAAATTATAAATCACAGGGTAACCTAAAAGAAAAATGATAAAACCTTCATGTCATAATAAGAAAGAAGACGACAAAAATATTCAGCAAACACTAAAACAACAGCAACAAAGGAAATGATGATATGATTCTTAAAAATAATGAGCTCAGCAAAGAAAATAATATGGAACAAAGAAACCAGGGACACCATGAAAAAACACACAACAAAATGACAGCAACCAATTCATACTTCTCAATGTTTACCATGAATGTGAATTAATTAAATGCACCAGACAGAGAGTTGCAGATTGGATAAGGAAGCAAAACACATCAATATGCTGTCTATAGAAGACACACCTTAGAGACAAAGACAAAAATAGACTAAAAATCAAAGGTAGAAAAAAGATATACCAAGCAAATGGCAACCGTAAAATAGCAGGAGTGGCAATATTAATTTCTGATCAAATTGACTTTAAGACAAAAACCCACCATACAAGACAAGGAAGGACATTATATAATGATTAAAGGATCAACTGAATAAGAAAATATAAACATAATAAATATCTATGGATCCAAAGTAAACAATCCTCAAATACTTAAGTAAGACTTTAAAAGAGTTGAAAAGCCAGATATATGACTCCACAGTCAAAATGGGAGACTTGAAAAACCACTTTCAATGAAAGATAGAACAACTGGAAAGAAACTCAACAAAGACACAGAAGAACTAAACAATAAAATTCACTAACTTGACCTTATAGACATCTATAGAGCACTTCACCCAACAACAGCACAATATACATTCTTTCCAGTGCACATGGAACATTGCCCATAATAGGCCATATGTTAAGCCATAAAGGAAGCCTGAATAAATTGAAAAACATTGAAATACTGCAAAGCATCTTCTCAGATCATAATGCTATCAAACTAGAAATCAACAATAGGAAGATCAACGGAAAAAGAGTAAACACATGGAAACTGAACAACAGTCTCCTTGAGAAAGACTGGATAAGAGAAGAAATAAAAATTTAAATTCAAAAATTCCTTGAATCAAACGAGAAAGAATACACAACATACCAAAATATTTGGAACACAGCAAAAGCAGTGACCAGAGGCCAATTTATAACAATCAATGAACATCAAAAAAGAAGAAAGACCCAAAATCAACACTTTAAAACAGTATCTCCAACAATTAGAAAAAGAACAGCAAGAAAAACCAACAGTGACCAGAAGAAAGGAAATAATCAAGATTCAAGCAGAAATCAATGAAACAGAAAATAGAAGGGCAATAGAAAAAATCAACAAAACCAGAAGTTGGTTTTTTTTAAAAAGATCAATAAAATTGGCAAACCTCTGGCAAATTTAAGAAAGAAAAACAGGGAGAGAATACAAATAATATGAATAAGAAATGAAATGGGTGACATCACAACAGAACCAACTGAAAAAAAAAAAAGGATAGTATCAGGATACTATGAAGAACTGTACTCCAACAAATTTGTAAATCTGGAAGAAATGGACATATTTCTAGAAACACACCACTTACCTTAACTAACATAGCCTGATGTGGAAAAGTTGAACAGATCCATAACAAAATAAGAAATTGAACAGGTCATCAAAAAAACTACCAACAAAAAAAAGTCCTGACCCAGATGGTTTCACTGGATACTTCTACCAAACATTCAGAGAAGAACTGATACCAATCCTACTCAAACTATTCTAAAACATAGAAAAGGACAGAATCCTCCCTAACTCATTTTATGAAGCAAGCATAACCTTGATACCAAAACCAGGCAAAGACATCACTCAAAAGAAAAACTACAGACCAGTATCTCTCATGAATATACATG